CCACCGCTTCCGTGACGTCTGCCCAGCGTCTCCAAGGCCCGTGGCTCCCAGTGATTTCACTCCTCTCAAGCAGGGGAGAAACCCCCAACTAACACGAAGGCTCTTCAGGGTGCGTCTGGAGCTCGGCTCTTTGACCTGCCTGGGTGGGAGGCCAGAGCAGTCGGGGCAAGAAGGGCCACCCAGCCTCCAGTCCCCCCTAGGTCTCTAAGTCGAACCCCTACTTAGCCAAGTTCTTTCTGCTGATGGGGAGCGCCCCTCCCTCTTTGGAGCCAAGTAGCGCAGTCCTGCTCATCTGGATTCCCCCACCAGTACAACCCTTGGTCGCCCTATTTGAGCCCTCCCTGAATTTAACCCACGGAGCTGGCGTTGGGTCTCACATTGAGTGAGCAAAATCCCTGGCCATCTGCTGAATAGCTAGCATGCTGGAGCAAAGCCTATTTGCATAGACACGCCCCCAGTCCCTCCTCCCCTTCCTGCCAGCTGTGAGGGAAGCACCCCTTCAGACCTGACATCTGCACAGGCCATGTTGATCTCGGTGTTGATCACTGGCCCGCTGGGATGAGAGAAGGCGCCTTCCCTCCCATTTCTCAATGGCCTCCGGTACGGTGCTCCTACCGCAGGTAGCCCAGATCCACTGAGTTATCGGTGCTCCTAACGGCAGGCGACTTGCAGGGGAGTGAGGAGCCCGACAACCTGGCATCAGGGCCGTGGTGCCGGGCGGACGGTGGGTATCACGGACTCCTGGTGCAAGCTTGGACTTCATCCCGGCTCTGCTCCCTCACAGACGAGATCCGGACTGGGGCCTACCGCTCGCTCTTCCACCCGGAGCAGCTGATCAGCGGCAAGGAGGACGCGGCCAACAACTACGCCCGGGGCCACTACACCATCGGGAAGGAGATCATCGACGCCGTGGTGGACCGGACTCGCAAAATGGTGAGTGGGGGACCCGCCTCTTCTCCCTTCCCCGGAGCAGGAACCTCTTGGCCTGAGGCAGCGAAGCCTCGACCGGCTCTGCCCACAGCTGGGACACAAAGCGCCCTGGGTGAGCCTGGCATGGGTGCGTTACGGACAGGAGCCCTGTAGCGCGCTCGGGCCCCGGTCTTGGCCGGCCTAGACAGCTGAGCTCCGAGTCAAGGAATCGGCTCCCAGTGTGTTGGGGTTTTGTAGCTGAGACTCGCTGAAAGAGCAACCCAAGAACAGACCCCGTGCTATCACCCGGGAACGGCGTTAGCCTGCCCAGCTGTTGTACGGGCATCTAGCCCCACGTCTGTACCTCCATGAAAGGTGACCCGCCCAGCCATCCGTCTTGGGATGGGACGAAATCCTCACACTGACTCATGAACCAGCATCTTGCTTGGTGCCGAGGTTGGGTTCTACACAGTGCACTTCTTTTGTTGGTTTTTGTTTAAAAAAAAAAAAAAATGGTGCCGGTACTCTGGGGAGAAAAATTGTTGAGGAGGTTTGGGGGGGAGGGGAGGGGGGAAGATGAGGTGGGGCTGACATCACCCTTTTAAGAGACATGCCAGTATAAGACGTGCGGCCCAGCAGACTCCTGGACACTTGCGTCGAGAGGTGCCTGTATGCTCAATTGTTTCCAGGGAAGCTCCGACTGGAGGTGCCAGTAGGGTGTACCGAGCAGTACCATCGCAAAAAAGCACGGGTTCTATATATACCGGTTGACTTAATTGGTCTTCCAAGGTGAACAGGTGGCTGCTACCTGTTTCGGGGGGTGGTCTATTGAGCTACATCAGTGGATCTTCAGGTCAGTACTGACTATGTCCACACAATTACAATGTGTCCCTACAACTCAACATCCCTTGGATCCCGTCATGGTCACACATGGAGCTGATGTCTGGAGGGTGATGGAAGAGAGGAGGGGGGGGCCTGTAGGCGCAGCATGACCAAGGCTAGTTCAGTGTCCTTCATTTGTGCAGGCTGACCAGTGCAGCGGCCTTCAGGGGTTCCTGGTCTTCCACAGCTTCGGTGGCGGCACGGGCTCGGGATTCACGTCGCTCTTGATGGAGCGTCTCTCGGTGGAGTTCGGGAAGAAATCCAAGCTGGAGTTCTCAGTGTACCCTGCCCCGCGGGTCTCCACGGCGGTGGTGGAGCCCTACAACTCCATCCTGACCACCCACACCACGCTGGAGCACTCAGACTGCTCCTTCATGGTGGACAACGAGGCCATTTATGACATCTGCAACCGGAACCTCAACGTCGAACGCCCCTCCTACCTCAACCTGAACCGGCTGATCGCCCAGATCGTCTCGTCCATCACGGCCTCCCTGAGGTTCGACGGCGCCTTGAACGTGGACCTCACGGAGTTCCAGACCAACCTGGTGCCCTATCCCCGCATCCACTTCCCCCTCACCACCTACGCGCCCATCGTCTCGGCGGAGAGGGCCTACCACGAACAGCTCTCGGTGCCGGAGATCACCAACGCCTGCTTTGAGTTCTCCAACCAGATGGTGAAGTGCGACCCGCGCCGGGGCAAGTACATGGCCTGCTGCCTGCTCTACCGGGGGGACGTGGTGCCCAAGGACGTCAACGCTGCCATTGCCACCATCAAAACCCGGCGCTCCATCCAGTTCGTGGACTGGTGCCCCACCGGCTTCAAGGTGGGCATCAACTACCAGCCGCCCACGGTGGTGCCGGGCGGGGACCTGGCCAAGGTGCAGCGGGCCGTCTGCATGCTGAGCAACACCACGGCCATCGCGGAGGCCTGGGCCCGGCTGGACCACAAGTTCGACCTGATGTACGCCAAGCGGGCCTTCGTGCACTGGTACGTGGGGGAGGGCATGGAGGAGGGGGAGTTCTCCGAGGCCCGGGAGGACATGGCTGCGCTGGAGAAGGATTACGAGGAGGTGGGCAGGGACTCGGCCGACGGGGAGGAGGTGGAAGAGGACGAGTACTGACTGATGCATGTGGAGGCGGATGCGGCCGACTCTCCCTGCCCAGGAGGGCGGAGTTCCAGCAAGTAGGGATGTAAAATCCCACCGCTTCAGGGAGCGGGTTACACGGTAGTTTTGACCTAACTTGTAACCGATTCACTGCTTAAGCGGCATCTGGGTGGGGATCACTCCAACCCAGCTGGAACATCCTTCAGGGCTCTCCCCCACCCCCACCCCACGTAGGGCTGGCTCCCAGCCCTGCATTGGGTCTGGGTTGCTTCCAGTTCTCAGCCCCTGTCCAGGGCGAACAGGGAGCCGCTCCTCTGCTCCTGCCCCCTCTGGTTACCGGTTCCCCCGGACCGATGTAGCGGGGTTAGGAGTAGCTTCATAACGGAGGCTACATGCCTAGACTTCCTGCTGGGCTCATGGGCTCTGGCTACAAAGCGCACTGCAGGCGGCAGAAATGATTCCCTCCGGGAATGCAATTTCCAGCCGGCGGTGACCCTCGCTGCAAACAGTTCTCTCTAGCGGATGCAAAAGTGAACGTCTTAACACAAGGCAAGGCCCTGCAGGAAACCGACTGTTAGGCTGTTGATCACAGACCGTTCTTTCCTGGGGTCTGGTGGGGGGATACAGGCCCATTTTGGGGAAGGAATTTGGCCCGGAGCTTGGTTTTTTCTCTTCCTCTGCAGTATGGGAGCACAAGTCCCTGGCCAGTCCGTAGTGGAGGAAATGGGAGCGTCAGTGCCACTTGGTGTGAAATCACAACTTGAGGATTTTAAGTCCCTGAGGGAGAACTCTTGAGGCTCCACTCGATACACCGGCCTTCAAAATGCTAGGCCTCAGAGCTGTCACCTTGCGCTGCATGAAGGCAGGCAAATGGGGTGGCTTCTGGAAAGGCTCCGGAAGAGCCTCCAGGCTAGTGGTCACCAACCAGTCGATCGGGATCTACCGGTCGATCTTGAAGCCTCTGACGGGGGATCCTGACTGGTTTGGCCAAGAGGTTACCAAGTGCCTGCGCTTCAGCTGCCCCTTCCCCCACTGCTGCCCATCTCCTGCCCTTTACCTTGAAGCTGCCCCTCAGGAGCCTCCAGCTTGCTCTGCAGGGCAGAGGGGGCTGATGTCCGGGTGCCCCCTCCCCCACTCTCTATTGTTTCTCCACAGAGCAGGGTGGGAGCATGACAGGACTTGGGATGGAGTTTGCTGGCTGCTTTAGAGTGGGCCAGGGCAGGGGGATCCTGTCTGCTCCACCACCCAGGAGCCACCTGAGGTAAGCAGGCCTAGTTGGAGCCCACCTCCTGAAACCCTACCCCAGTCACGAACCCCCTCCTGCAGCCCAACCTCCTGCCCTAGCCCTGAGACCCTACATCCACACACCCACCAAGAGCCTGCACCTACATGCGCCCCATGTCCCAAACGGCCTTCCGTCAGGCACCTGAGCCGGTCCTTGAAAAAACCAATTACTAGACATTTTAGATGTCTAGTATTTTCTGAATTTTTCTTGCCAGATAGAAGGTGCAAATACCAGACTGTCTGGTTTAATACCAAACACCTGGCAACCCTATTGAGTTTAAGGCCAGCCCCTGGTTGGCAGTGTTTGGAAGATCTCAGTTGGTTGGCGATTACAGAACAGAAGCGGGACCAACTTTCCCAGCCAGGTGTGGAGGACCCTCCAGCTCCACCAAGCCCAGTTCTGGGGCCCTAGCTCCTCCTGGGTCTCTTGACTCTGCTCCCATTTTAGCCCCAAAATAAGTCTGTTCTCTTTCAGAAGCCCTATCCAACATGGGGCTGGGCGTGGGGCCAGCCTGAGCCCCCGTCAAAGGCCTTGTTGTAGCGGCAGGTTGCTAGTGACAAATAAGTCCATTCTTTCAGAACCCAGCCCTATCCAACATGGGGCTGGGTGTGGGGTCAGCCTGAGCCCCTGTCAAAGTCCTTGTTGTAGCGGCAGGTTGCTAGTGAATTTCCAGACCTCTCGTTGGTGGGTTTGCCTTTTGGCACGCAGCCGTCAGGTTTTGGTGTGCTCTGCTGCCTTTGAATTGCTTCCCCTTGCATCCCTCCTCCGCCGGCCTCTTGGCCTACATCTGCACCGCACGCTCATTTCAGAATAAGCGATTCTGGAAGAAATCCTCTGAAATAGCTTATTTTGAAATAGCACGTCTGCAGTGCAGGGAAGCCTCAAAGTGAGTCCGAGGCAGGCTTCCCTAATGTGGACCCGCTACTTTGTTTTAGAGACCAGAGAGGCACTGGGGAATCCTTACTCTGCATGGTCCTGGGGGAGGAACTATTTCCAAATAGCAGCAATGGAGCATCTGAAATAGCTATTTCGGAAGAGGCGTTATTCCTCGTGGAATGAGGCCTACAGCATCTGGAATAAGCCACCCGTTACTTCGATATTATTTCCAAATAACAGAATTGCTGCATAGACGCCCGCCTGGTTCTTTCAGAATAACAGCCTTTACTCTGAAATATCGTGGCTTTGTATACGCACCCGTGGAGATGTTATCGTACAGGTGAGGAGTCCAGAGGCGCTCCCCCGACAACACCCCTGTTCTAATACAGTGGATGGGCAGAAAAGAGCAGGCCCTCTCGGGTTCCCATGCAACTAGGTCTGTATAAAGCAATGGTCAGAAAAGGGAAATACACTCCCGGGGAATTGTGGGAAGGCTTTGGAGGACTAGGAGAATCCAAGGTGTGTAACCTAGGTTTCAGGTTATGTTCATGCAACAAAGCAGGCCCCCTAGAACTCTCGTTAAGGTGACCACCTCGTTAAGGTCCTAGCCAAGCACTAGCCTATACCCTGTGAGTAAGTGTCTCGGTTGAAAGCGTGCACGCACACTGAGGGTATGCCTACGCTACGGAGTTCTGGTTTTTTTGGAAAAACGGCCATTTTTCCGAATAAACGTCACTTCCGTCCACACTGCTAGCGCGTTCTTTCAACAGGAAGTCAAAAGAACGGAGGAGGTTTTCTGACATTAGTAAATCTCTTCCTACGAGGAAGAAGCCTGTTTCGGAAAAAGGCGTGGGTGGGTAGGGAAGAAGGCTTTTTTTTTTTTTTCCTCAAAATAAGAGGTCTCTAGGAAAAAGCACAGGTGCCCAACTGCCATGCAAAATAGCATCCAATCAATATGGACACTCTCTCGGAAAAGCAGATGTGCTTTAGCGGTGTGGATGCTCTTTCAGAAGTTTTTTTTCAGAAGATCTCTTCCGGAAAAGCTTCTTCTGAAAGAAGCCTACAGTCCAGACATAGCCTCAGGCACAAGCTTCCGCGTGTGGGCGGCGGAAGGTTTGGGTTAAAAGCCAGGCAAGCGCCTGAGCTAACGCTGTTGTGAAGACCCCTCTAGACCACCCAGGTGCTTGCTCACTGGGGGAACAGGGCGAAACTAGAGCCGGGCAGCAGATGGTTTGTCTATCCCCGTGGTCCCCAACACGGTGCCCGCGGGCACCATGGCGCCCGCGGGGGCATTTGCATGCGCCCGCCAGGTGCTCGGGGCTGGCCTGGCCCCAGGCACATGGCGCATGGGGAGCACCGGCCC